ACATATTTTTGTATTTTTTATTAATTTAACAAATAAACATGCATGGACAAATACAAATAATTATAAAAAATGCCACGAAAATTCTCAAAATTGCACAAAAAGGAAAATTATTTTATTTTGAATTTTTGGGAGTAATTCTCACATAGGGCAAAAATCTCGTGCTTACAGCTGCCCCTCTTTGTCCGAAAACACAAAGAGTTTTCGTGCAAAGATAAAGTGAGTAGATACGAGCGATTTTTGCCCATCCGAGTACTCCGTGTGAAGCATTTTTTGAAAGATTTAACCGAGCCTTTGCTTCGAAGGTTTCCTACATATCCCTAGCTAAAAGGGAATCAGGTTAATGTAGTTCGGGAAGTTTTGGTAGCTGGAACTACCATGGGACTGCAATGTTACTGTTGTTGCATGTTGTTATTACTGCCTGCCGACTTCCTTATTACACCATGCTGAAAGAAAATAAGAAGCTAGACTAAACTATAGTCTATGAATTACAAAATCTTATCTAGATCTTCAGCCATGCTCTTGTGTCTCTTGTTTCTTTGATGTCTCGGTGACTCCTCTGGCATTTCTTTACCTCTGATTTGTCTTGTATTCTCCCTTGACTGCCGATCTCGAACTGCTTATGTCCTTCTCGGGAGCTTCGCATTATTTTTCCATTGAATCTTGAACTTCCTTCTTCTGCTGGGGATTTTTGTTGTTTCCCGCTGGGGATTTCGGTTGTATTCCTCTGTTATATGGGCGGGCTCCCAGCTTCAAAACTTGAGATGTAATGACTGAAATGTATTCCTCTGTTATATGGGCGGGCTCCCAACTTCTTCAACAACTTCGAAAATAAAGCGCCATTCCGTTCTTCAGGAGGGGCTCCTGACCTCAACAACAACTTCGAAAAATAACATCGTCATTCCGTTCTTCAGGGGGGCTCCTGACTTCAATAACTTCTTAAAATAATTCAGCCTCCATTATCCAGGCGGGCTCCTGACTTCAACAGCTTCTTAAAAATAACACATCCATTCTCCAGGCGGGCTCCTGACTTCAATAACTTCTTAAAATAATTCAGCCTCCATTCTCCAGGCGGGCTCCTGACTTCAACAACTTTAAAATAATTCAGCCTCCATTCTCCAGGCGGGCTCCTGACTTCATCAGCAACTTTGAAAATAATTCAGCCTCCATTCTCCAGGTGGGCTCCTGACTTCATCAGCAATTTTGAAAATAAATCAGCCTCTATTCTCCAGGCGGGCTCCTGACTTCAACAACTTTAAAAATAATTCAGCCTCCATTCTCCAGGCGGGCTCCTGATTTCAACAACTTCTTAAAAATAATTCAGCCTCCATTCTCCAGGCGGGCTCCTGACTTCAACAACTTCTT